ATATCATCATCATCCTTTCAAGGGTGTACTTGTTGGCCAGGACAAAATTGGCTACTACATCAATTTCTTTGCTCGAAAACTCTTTCATCATTTTCGGTCAAAGAGCGGCAGCTGTTGATACCCAATTTTGTCCTACCTTTCTTCTAATTAATTTTCTAGTGCTCCCTAGTCATTAATAATTTAATGTTCTATCTTAATTATTTGTTACCTTTTATTACTATTATTATTATAGTTATTGGAGTGATTATTATTATTATTATTACTATTATTATTATTATTATTATTATTATCATCAATACTACTATTGTTGCTATAATAATGTCTTAGTACAATTAACATTAATATAAATATAATTATTATTGGGTCAGTTTAATATATAATATTATATATGATCTAAGTTTTCCTTTTAGAGTTTTTGCGCGCTCGATCCTTTTAAGAGGATTAAGGATTATTCTCATAATTAATAGCATTCTTTGTTTATTACAAAATAACAGATTATATTAAACAACGTTTTAATATATATATATATATATATATGTGTGTGTGTGTGTGTGTGTGAGATACACATAAAATACACNAATCATCTTATAAGCTAAACTCTCACTAAGCTACATGATATAATTTATTATTACAATATTGCTTTAGCTTAATCATATTCTAAGCTTTTAATTTATTGATAGTTTATATTCTATGATTGTTGAAGTCCAAATAATGTATAAGGAAAGAAAGTGGGTTGTCCTCATTTTTGAGCGACAAAAGCTCAAAGGGAGCTTTCCCTCATATAGCCCAATTCACCACCAACCTGCAATCAACCCATTAGATACATCCAAATAATTTTTAGCCCAAGACTTATTCCACAAAGACTACATCAGCTAGGTATTTTGCCATCTTCTCAAAAAAAGAAACGCAGCCATCCCATCTTCCTCTCGCTTCTTCTCCCTCTTCCATTTTTATGCAAGGTCAAGTTTTACTTAAGCCAAGGACAAACTTTGCCCTTCCATTTTTTAGCAAGTTCATTGTCTCTCCTTTTCTTCAACGATTTAGTCAACAAAAGATACCAAAGAACTTTTTTTTTTAATTCTGATTTTTGTGCAGAAAATCAGTAGAGCAGAGATTCAAACAGCTTTTTTTTTAATCCAAGATCGGCCCGTGACCCTCCTCTGCCAAAGGATTTTGAATTTTAAAATCAGGAACATGAACCCTAGATCAATACTTTTCACCTATAAATACATCCTAAAGTTTCAGCCAAGATCCATGGGAAAATCCCTTCTAAAAATCAATTTTTACCACCTAAAAGGTATCTCCGAGCTAATTCAAAAAGGAATAGATCTGAAGCCTCGCAAGCCCCAAGTTCACTGCCTCGCGGAAGGTAAAACCCCAATTTCATTCTATCAATAACATATACGTATATTTTATTATAGTAGAGATTACGTGTTAAGTTTTCGTCCCTTTAATTGTGTTGAAATTTATGCAAATTCTGTGGAGAATCGCTTTTCTTGTTATGGCTCCAGTTACAAAACTTGGTTGTAGAGTAGTACTATTTCTTTAAAGTTCATTGTCATGTTAATTAAAATTACTTGGTTGTAAGTTATTGATCCTGTGATAAAAAATCTGTTAAGAAGCATGACTAATGGCTAATTTTTTTTTTAAAAAAAACAAAGAACAAAAAAAAAAGAAACAACTTAGGTCCTTAGATACCATGTTGTAAGAAAATCTTGTTGCCAATAGGTTCTACTGCAAATCTTTGGTGTATTAATGTGTATTCATCTGTTTAGAAACTTGGTTAACACATTTGGCATTTTATTATTCGAAAATAAATATCCAAAAGTCCTTGTTTCTTTCACATGTCTAACTTGTTTCCTTTTAAATTTGGGTGTATATTTGCTGACATTGTATATACAAAAGTATGTCATTATAGAAACTACAATTTTCTTTTAAGAATATAGTACTACTTAAGAATCTACAATTTTGCTTTTAAGAATATAGTACTACTTAAGAATCTATAAGTACATGCTATATGCCCTGCTTTAAGTCTCTTTCATTCATGAATTAGTATGATAAGGGAACTATGAGTATAGGAAGTCTTTTATTTTGTTCCATATAAGTTGAACGGGATATTTGTATAAAATATCGCTGCTATAAATATTTAATTTACTAATAAGTTCAATTATTAGTTTAGGAGCCATGTCGTAAGATCATTCTTTCACACTCGAAATGCCATGTACGTAGTTTATCCCTTCACGTTGTAATGACTATGTTTAAAGGTACTTGTCAAAATATTGCTTGAAGTTCTATTGAGCTTTAGATATATGCACGTTTGATGACTTGTTTAAATCCCTTATGTTTAAATTAATATGTGTTGTAAGTTTGTGTCATTTTTATATATTTTCTTTACTTTTTCATTGTTTAAAGATTATTAACTTGAATACTAGAATATTAATGTCGTTTAGCAGATTCTCACGTTAGTTTTTTTTTTTGTCCTTTGAGTATTTCCTATTGTCTGAAAAGAGACTTAATTAAATCTTTTTTTTTTAAAAAAAAAATTATTTTAAAACTACACTATGCATATTGATTAAAGAAAATTTCTTCTGTATAAGATTGATGAGGTTGCTCCTCTTTAAATTTAGCAAATCATTAAAGATTCATCTTGTTAAAATATCACACGCAGGATGACTTGTTTAAATTCTTTATGTTTTAAATTAATATGTCTTGTAAGTTTGCTTCATTTTTATATACTTGTAAAAATTGAATTTCCTATTTTTTCTTCTAATTCTTATTACCTTTACCTTTGCATGTACACTTCGGAGCGACATGGAGTCTTAATGCAAGACTCTTCCTACCCGCATAAGAGTTATCACAAACTATCCTCTTTAATCGCATTGGACAAGAAGGAAACAAGCAAATTTGCTTGGGGTCGCCTATGGCGGCTTTCATTATTTTTTACTTACTTTGTCTAAATTTTTGTTAGTTCATGTGATTTGATTTGGTTTGGAATTCGTTTTATTATTGAGGATTAATTTTATCGTGTAAATTTATAACTGTGATTTTGGCCAAATATCTAACTAATCAAGAACTTCTAGGAGTTTAACAACCTAGAATAGTGGTACATTTTTTTGGGACTTAAAAAAGGGGCAACAAAACTTTTCTGGAAAGCGTAGCTTTTGAATTGAGCTTTGCAGATTTTTTTTTATTCTTTAAATTAACACTTTCAACAATTTTCTTGACCTTAGTAAAATTTGATGACAAACAAAAACAATTTCCCTTTTCTTGCGGTTAGTGACGGCTATTTTCTTTTAAAAAAAACCGGCAGTTTGCTTCCAAATCCATATATTTACATATTAATTAGCTTTTAACTTCTTTTTTCTTTACTTGATAATATTTTCAAGTTTAAACTATTCAATTATAAGTTATTGTCTTGTAAGACCTTAAATATTTTCGATAATTTATTTAACACTTATTAATCTAAGTTTGGCCGGTTAAGCGTATTAACGGATTTTAAAGGGTGCTTGAAAAACCTTCCTTTTTAAAATATTTAAAACCCTTACTTAGAATCTTTAGGTGAAGACCATAAGACAGAGTTTGACTTAAGCTTTAAAAATAGGTGTCCTAATTCACCTTAGAATTAATTAGGTGGCGACTCTCTTAAAATTAATTAAACCTCAGAATCACTAATATGTTATACTCTAATTTGATCCGTTTTAAATGGGGTATAACAGGGTGTAGTAAAACGGAAATTAATAACAAGACAGAAAATGTAAAGATTAGGTGGTAAAGAAAATCCATTGATCCAGAGTGATGTCCATCATGGTAGAGCTAATCAATGGGTTCAAAGCTCACTTTAGCCTATTATGCCATTAACTAAGGGTAAGACGGTGGGTTCAAGTCCCAACGCACCACCAGAATAAGACACCGGGTTTGAGTCCTGGTGCACCATGATGATAAGAGTTGGGTTTGAGTCCCAACGCATTATAGCCTTACACGCACGCCTTTATATGGGTAAGGCATTGGGTTTGAGTCCTAATGCACCATATTGATGATATAGTGATGACTAATGAAAATAATGTATTTTTCATGAAAAAGCATGAAGCTTGTCCCAATTGATTTGCTCCATTCTTGAAGTGAATGTGATAGCGGTGCATAATAAATCTAAACGAAGACAAGTGGTTGACTAATCAACGTGGGCGTGCCAAACACCAAAATAATAATAGTCATCATTATGGTAATTATAAAAGGAGAACAATAAGGGTTCTCAAAATAATCCTTCAAAGGTGGAGGAACTGTGTATCAATATGGTCTGTAAATATGAGGCACGCTCAGACAATTATAGACCATTTTATTGAAAGTATACGACTTGTGATAAGCATTGTAAATGCAGACTCATTCCTGAAGTGAGTGTGAAAATATATATGTGATACAAATTATACACAAGAATGTATTTATGCATGATTGAATAAATACTACAACTCACATCTACGGGAGGTTTGAGAGAAAGAAAGATCATGAACATTACTATGTGGTTATACGAATATGTCATTGGTCGTGTACATATGGTACGCCGAAAATATTTTGCCATGCCTTATAAAAATTAATTAAAGGCAAAATTAAAGCAAGAAAAATTTTTGCTTATGATGATTTTGACCATGACAATTATGGATGTAACTCCCACACCTCTATGATCTTCCCCATGTTCCCAATAGATAATACCATGTTCATGGCATCCCTTTGTATTACCTATATCATCATATAAATAAAAGGTTTGGGCATCACATTGTACACACTTGAATACATAGAAAAAATAGATTCTCTCCTCTCTTTCTCTCTACATTATTGTCTATCTTCTTGTTTTATATTATTACTTTGAGCTAAATTTCGTAACAATATTCTAACTTTTTGAGAAATTGCTGGTGATATATCCACGTGCAACACACTGAAAAACCGTACAGAATCACACCATAATAATAATTTAATACACGCTGGTTTTTATTTTTTATTTATTTTAATTTTTATGTCTCTCTCTCCTTCTGCACCTGTATGAATGGTGTGTCCCCAATCCTTTGGCTCTCTCTCTCTCTTCTCCGCCTTTATTTTCTTACCAAAAATCTCTCTCCTCCATTTTAGCCTTTCACAGGCACCACCAGTTCTCACCCACACAGGTACCTTCGCTCTTTCCATTTCTGTATTTCTCTTTCTAATCCAATTAATTTGCCATAATTACATAGCCTATTTGATGGATGTTTCTACCATATTGGATATATTTAGTAATATCAAACATATATATGGATATTTGTTCATGGATAATGTGATCATAGAGATCTCAAGTGTTTGATAATATCTTTGCTTTGTCTTCTTTGTTGCTTCAGGCTTTAGATCTGTTGTAAAAAACTAAAAAATGAATAGATTCGCCTATGAGCAAGCGGCCTTTGTGGGTTGTGTTGGAGTTGGAGATATGAGACGAGGAGATATCTCTGTGTGTGGTGCCGTTGTTTGCCCCAAACCTCGCCGGATTGGGCTCTTCGATTCTTCCTATGTTCACTCCGACGAACGCATCAGATCTTCTCGATCAGAGGCTTGCGATTTGAAAGCCGGAACTGAACTTCTGGATATCATCCTCACCAAGGTAAAATTATTTGCTTTTTTTTTTTAATAAAAATAAATGATCTAGTTTTGTGATGTGAACTGTTAACAATTCAATAACTTCCGCTGACAAATTTCGATTTTTTTTTTTGTAAACAGGGGAATTATGATGAGGAGAAAACTAATTTTGAGATGGCTTCATCTCCGCCTTTTTATTTTGGGTCTCCGCCCAGCAGGGTTTCGAATCCTCTGATTCAGGATTCTCAATTCAGCAACGACAATTTTTTTCCTATACTAGCAATTCCAGAAGCAGCTGCTGCATCACCACCACCTTCTTTTACCTCCACCGCTGCTTCCACTGCCGCTCGTAAGAACGGAGGTGGCTGCGTTCCGGTGAAGTATGGGAACAAGCAAGCTGCTGTGAGGATTGAAGGGTTCAATTGCCGCAGCAGCATCTCTGCTGTTGCTTAGGTAAATCCCGATGTTTAACCAACCAAAGAGATTAAAAAGAAGAGATTTTTGAGGGAGAGGTGAGAAACCAAAACAAATTCATTTTAGCTTTGTATATATAGAGTGAAAGAAAGAGAACGAGTTAGTATATTTTCCAGTCATTCAAATCCTGTTTGTGAATATGTTTATTAGGTGATGAATGAGTGTTCATTTGATATTGGACAAATAATAAGCTGAGTAACCCAAAGAGGAAAGATAGGCCAAAAGATTGTCCTCTTTCCTTTGGGATTGTTAGGTTTTTCTTTTTAACATTAGGCTAAGTTATGTAATGTAGTGTGAGAGAGTCAAAAGAGAGACTTCTTCTTTGTGACTGAAAAAGTTGTCACTCTTGTACCTTCATTGTATTGTAATCCGAAGGAGAAGAGAAGATAGTATTTATTCTACTTCTACTGCTAATTTCTTTTATGGATATAAGAAGCAGATTCGAATTTTACTTGGATTGTTGTTGTTGTCCTTGTTGATATAAGGAAGCACGTGGCTAACTATTCTTTGTTAAGTTTTGATAATCATCAACGATGTAATTATATAATGTTTTAGTCATAGCTAGCTTTATGAAAAGTCCATTTAATGGCGTAATTATCGCCACTACTATGTGTGTGATTATGCTCGAGGATGTTGAACTTATCTTAATGGATTTGTTTGGTATAAAGAATTGAGATGCCAAGTTGAACAAGGCAAGTTGGGGTGAGAAAAATACTGAATTCTATGTGATAGGAAACATTGGAGACTACGTGGATTTGGTTGTCTTCTTGTAGCTTTTTATTGTTTGAATTAATTTGATTTTGTTGAATTGATTTGTCAGCGACCCTTCCCTGGTATTAAGGCATAAAAGGTGCATAGGCGTGGGGTACTATGTTTAGTATTTTTGTTGTATTTTAGTGTCATTTTAAAGGAGACTTTTAGATTGCTGACTAGTTTGTGAATAGTTTTGCTCATGGGTTGGGCACCACCTTGGTAGACAAACACAATAAAAGAATGGCATGTTGGTGGGGTTAAGACGGCCCTTGCACTTTCTAAGAATTGTTTGTGTCAAACTGTTGTATTATGCAGATAACAGACTTTGGAGTATGTCCTGTGCCGACAGTGAGTCATGACTATTCACTAGCATTTGGACATAAATTTGATAGAAATTTGAAAATAAGTTTTTGAAGTTGTGTTTCAAAATAATTTTTGGAAGTTGAAGTTGTGTTTGGACATGCATTTTATTTGAAGAAAGTAGGAGGTTTGTGAGTGGAAGAATTTTTTTTACCCTAAACCAGTTTTTGGGAACTTGGAAACATTTGAATTTTTTTCCCCAAAACATGATCATATTTCATAAACAAATAATGTTTTCACAATATTTTTGAAAAAATGAATGACAAAATCTATGAACAAATGGGAGCTTCCACTAATGTCAAATATTATTGAAAGATGCTTGAAACTAGGACAGGTCTTAGCTCCCAAAGCTAGAGAATTGAGTGTGATGTGTGTGAATTAGTCCATCTGACGAGTTCCAAATTTACAATTCTATTGCTGCTGATAAAAAGAGTTTGGTATTTAAATGAAAGAAATAGGGATGGATTCACAAATATTGTGTTTCAATTCGTGCACCATTTCATTGGCTAGTAAAAAATAAATAGTCTTCTTATATTTATCACTGTGGCCAGTATTTATACTTGTGCAGAACCAACCAAACTGAGAGTGATATCTCATCTTCTTTTGCTGTAGACCCTAATGTTTTTCACGAATATGTTTTGCTTGATATGACGGATATCAGCCTCCCCCACCCCATTGTACTTTTACTTCTCTGTCATAACAAGTTTTATTTTGTGTCTCATACAACAGACAATAGTTGTATGAGTCTTTTTTTTATCTCACAAAATTGTGGACCCCAATCTTACACTGCTGGATCCACATAATTCTGGGTCCACAAAACTGTGAGACAAAAAGTTGCCTCATACAACTAGCGTAAGTTGTATGAGACACAAAATAAAATTTTCCTAACTTTTTCATTTACCCGAACTCAGGACTAACTATATACTATGCTTTTACGCAAGTGGAGTTTAAGGCCCCGTTTGGCCATACATTTTGGCACCGTTTTTTCAAATCTTTTTTGAAAACATTGTTTGTTCATAGATTAATAATCTATTTTTGAAAAATTTTTGAAATTATTTTTCAAGTTCCCAAAATCTAGTTTAGGGCAGATTTGGGTGAAACTTGTTCTCCTACTCACAAAACTTCAAATTTTTTTCAAATAAAATGCATGTCCAAACATAATTTCAACATCCAAAAATTATTTTTCAAAACTACTTCAAAAATTATTTTTTCAAGTTTCAACTAAATCTATGTTCAAACGCTAGCTAACACAGGAGTATTACTTGTGGCAGCAAGTGGATATATGCATTAGATTGAAAAACTGGCTCCTTTGTGAAGGTTACTTTTTTTTACTTTTTACCAATTCTTTTTTTTTTTTTTTGTTTTTTTTTTTTGGAGAGGAATGCGAGAGCTAATTCTTGCACATGAACGGTCACAAGACTTGCTGTGGAAAAGGTGAAGCATTTGTACCAACCGGAAATGAGCATATTGAGTTCTTGGCTAGAAATAGTAAAAAGAGGAAATAACACTAAATGCCCGTCACTCCCAAACTTATTTACCCGGATTTGCCCATTTGTAAATTAATTTCCTACTTAGGCAATCTAAACTTATTACTCATAAATTCACTTGCCTTTTCTCTTTTAATTTGCTTTAATCTTTTACTTCGCGTGATGGGCAAATTGAAAATGCAAATCTTTTTTTCGTTCTGTTTTATTCTATGACTTGAATTCCAAGACTTCTGACTTCTGCAAAACATTAATCTGCCATTGGAGGACCTTGAAGCTTTGAAACTCATAAATTGGGTTTGTGGTTATTTTAATTCGATTCTGACCGGGTGTGTTCAAAATGTTAATTGGAGGATGTGGCTATATTCTAAGTCAATTTGGTGGAGATTTTGGAGTAGATTTTTCAATCTTGGGTTGAAATTGAGCTGAACGGCAAAGAAGACAGATTTGACTGTATACCAGAATGGTATATTGTATTGGTATACATAATTAAATCAAGAGTATATAATTAACTACATTAGTATACTACTGATATTTTTGACGGAAAAGGATCAAAACTACCCGTGAACTATTGGCTTAGGGCTACAAATATCCTTCGTCCACCTATCCGTCTAAAAATGTCCCTGCCGTCTATTTTTTTGGCCCATTTCTACCCTTATGACTAACAGTCAACACTAAATACAAAAACAGTTTATATAAATACCATGTGGCATTTTCTCATTGGTTGAATGTAAAACCCTGACTCCAATTAAAAAATCTACCCACATATAAACGTTTTCGGACCATATACCAAATCTAATTGTTTTTTTTTTTAGTTTTTTAATTGTTTTTTGAACCAAGCTCTTAGAATTTCAGCAATGAATTCTTCTTCCTAGTCTCTAGTTTTCAGATCAGGAATACTTGACTCCCATCTCAATAATAAAATCAAATCAGTTTTACGCATCAAGTCGCCAAAGAATCGTAATCGCAAACCAAATTAGAGCTTGAACATATCAATACTGGTGGGTTCAAAGTTCTTTCTCAATTTTCGAATCTCATCGGCAACTAAGGAATTAGAATCAGTTTAACTAGTTGATTTTTAAGTTCAATCCACTAACACAATCCTCATATCTGCTCAGGAACTGAACTTCGAATTTCACAGTATTAACCAATAAAAATATTTTTTCAAGTCAACTGGGTCGCTTGAAAAAAAATAACTTCAATATTTCTCAAGCAACAGATAAAGTTGTAACCAGTTAAATTCACTTTCTATAAGTAATTTTCAATCAAACTTTAAAAATCCTTTTAGCGAATGGGGTTTAGAAGTTGTTCCAACAGTGATAAACGAGAACAGTGAAGTATCTTTTTGGATTTCTTTGTTTTTCTTTTGTTGTAATTATGTCAAATTAAAACTAAAAAAAATATAGGAATAATCCTTTAGCCTAAACTCTTGATATCAAATGACAGCAACGGGTGAAGTATTTAGGGTTTGGCTTTGAGTTTGAGTCCGAAAACCTTAACATTTGGGTGAGTTTATTTAAATAGGGTCAGGCTTTTAATTCGACCAATGAAAAAAAGCCACGTGGTATTTGTATAAACTTTTTATTCGTTTAGTGTTGACCGTTAGTCATAAGGGTAGAAATGGTCCAAAAAATAGACGGCAGGTGCATTTTTAGACCGATAGGTGGACGAAGGCTATATTTAGCCCTAAGCCAATAGTTCAGGGATAGTTTTGACCCTTTTCTATTTTTTTAAGGAACGAACCAATCCTCTATATACCAAAATAACATATTATAAGCTATTTTTTAGTGTATAATTTATTGCGTTGAACAGGCGAAGAAGAATGTATACTGTATACCAAAATGATATACTATATACCATTTTGCTATACAGTTCATTCCAATGATATGCTATTATAGTATGCTATATAATGTAACGGTGTACTCTTACAATTAGGTCATTTTAGAATTTTTTGAAATTTTTATTGACAACTGATATTATTTCAGTTTAATAATTGAATTAAAAGAAAAGATAACTCTTTGCGTACCATTGTATACCCTATTGGTATAGCTATATACTATACTAGTATCATATGTTTTAATACTTTTTGGTTGTATTAGCTACCATTAATTGGTATACAATTTGATTTTTTAGTAATAGTATGAAAAAAAGAATAATAAAAATAGTAAAAATAGTAAATAAAATTAGATTATGAAGAGAAAAAGAATATAAATAAAGAAGTTAAATGAAATTAGAAAAGGAAAAGAGAAAAAAATAAGAAGAAAACGAGAAATAAAGAAAAAAAAGAAAGAAAAAAAGAAGCATAGAAATAAAAAAGAATTGAAGAATAAAGAAAAAATTTCCCCACAAAAACTACTGTGGGTAGGAAATATAATTAGTTTGATGGGTAAAAAAATAAATGGGTAGACAAGGATAAATAATTTTGTTTTCGTGAGTAACTGTGTCATTCTCCCTCTAGTTAGCAGGCTTTGCTTGTGATTGCACCAAGTAAAAAGAGTTATTTATAAAAGAGATTTTTACCTCCTATAGCAAAGGTTAACACCTTATTTATTTTAAATAAATACCATTTAAAAAAATTATATTCTATAGATACCTTTTAAGGTTTATAGCAAAATATTTAATTTTGGTTACCTCCTAGCCCTAAGCCACTAAATACGCTAATCAGTTACACTATTTTCTTTCTCTCTCTACTTTGATATATCTCATTCTCTTCCCCCGTCCCATTAAAATTTCCGATCTCCTCTTCCTTCCACCGGATTTGTGCAAAGCCCACTTCAGAGATGCTGATTTCGTATTGTTTAGTTTGTATGATACTTTTTCTGAAGTTGCTATTACTGTTGAAAAAGATGATGAACCAACG